AAGTTCCCTCCCAGCTCTGACATTCTATGTTCTAAGGCTCCTTCCAGTCCTCACATGTTGTGTTCAGTATTTCCTTTCTAGTCCTGATGGTCCATATTATATGTTTGAAGGCCCCTTCTGGCTTCGATGTCTTGTGATTCTGTTAAATGGTTCACACTTCTCTGGACTCCAAAGCCTTGGGTGGTTTTTAGTAAGGTTTTTGGTGCCACCTCATGGCCACATGGACACTGCAGCTTTAAAATGGCAGTTTCCACTGAGGTTAGGGTAGGAAAAAGGAAGCGGAGGGAAGAGAGGAATTGTTTTTGAAGCTGTATGTGGACACAGGATGGTGAAGAACAGTAGAAATCCATACCTCCAGGTCTAATATCCCCACCACTACCACTTCCCGGTCACTAGAACAGATTCTGAGACCAGAGGTAGGACTAAGGAAAAAACACACCATGGAGTCCTCCTTCGGGGCTGGCCCTTCACATCCCCTAGTCCACATGCAAAGGCCATCCTGAGCAAGAGAACTAGCTAAGCACAGAGTCCCTCAGTGACTGAGATAGGAACCTCCCTCCACACCAGTGGGCTCCATGGTCTCTCCACCATCTTAGAATGGGAAACTTCCAAGCTGCAGTCAGTCTCCAGAGACTACACTCTGACTCAATCTCACCTATCACCCCAGCACTGCTCTTATCTCGTTGGGGAACATGCCACCTATGGATAGATACACACCCATACACACAGTCCTAGCCCCAAAGTCAAGATCTTGGAGACCACACAATCCACGACCAGTGAGTGACGAGGGACCTGCTCTTTAGGAAGGGAGTTTCATAAGTTGATGGGCCGAGGGAGTCAGAGTTCGATCTCTCCTCTTTGTACCCTGTAGTTGGGCAGGGTCGTAGAGTGCTGGCAGCATGGCGTAGTGGATGGAGCACTGAACTTGGAGTCAGGAAGACATGGGTTCAAATCCCACCTTGGAAACTTAATACTTATATGATGCTGGATAAGTCACAATCTTAGCCTCTCTGGTCCTTAATTTTTTCATCTGCAAAATGGGTAGAGTTGGACTTAATGGTCTCTAAAATTCCTTCTATCTAGAAATCTATGATCCTATTATCTCTAATCTATCTTACACCAAGAAGCCAGCACAGGTTCAGATGACTGCTCTAAGGAGTGACTTTTGAGACCATGAAACATGCAAAGTGCAAAGTGTTAAACTAAGAATCAGGAAGACCTGGGTTCTAATTCCACCTCAGATATTAGTGTTTTGATCCTGAGCAAATCACTTAACCTCCCTAGACCTCAGTTTCCTCATCTGTTTAAAAAAAAAAAGAGGAGGCTGGGACAGATGGTCTCTAAACTCACATCCAACTCAAAAGCTATGCTCTTATGAATAGGCTTCCAGACAAAGTCCAACCTGGCCCCAAGTCTGTGTTCCATTGGCATGGGGCTTTGGGCAAGAGGCTCAGGTCTCCAAAAGTCAACTTCCCATCAGCTGGGCTCCCCATGCTCTAACTCTCACCCTTGCCCTCATTCTAATTTCTCAATAGCTGGTGAAGATATTTCAGTTTTTAAAGAAGGGTAGCCCTCAGCAAGGACAGTGGGGATGGAACCAAAGTGGAGCCTGAAGACTTTGGAAGCCCTGTGATGGGAAGAGAGGTAGGTCCCTGGATGGGCTCCCTCACATGCTCAGCAACTTCAAATGATATCAAAGTCCCAAATGACTCCAGGAGACTAGAACAGGATACTCTGCTCTCCCAAACCCTCGCCTGAGAGTCAATCTGTGTGATATGCAGGAAGGGATTTGTGAGAGACAGAAAAAAAAATGAGTGGAAACATTGGTGAGAGACAAAAGGAAAGCATGGAAAAAGGAGACAGAGAAGGCCGAGACAAAGGAGAGAGAGAGCAGAGAGAACTGTGAGAAGGCAGAAAAGATGGAGAGAGAACAAGGACAAGGCAGAGAGAGATGGAAAAGCCCAGAGGAGGCAGAAGGAGCTGAGAGGCCCAGCGAGAAGAGGGAGAAGTCAGCAGGAGACAGAGACAGGGAAGAAGGTTAAAGAAGTGATACTTACAGCTAGTTGAAGGGCTGTCCACGCCATTCAGATCTGCTCTTGGGAAGCCATGGACTGAGTGGGAGGCGTGTAACGAGGACTCAGTGGCTCTTTCGTGGGCAGTAAGGATAATGGTGGGGGGGTGACTTCCGCCGCCAGGGCCAGACAGCGACTTCTGCATGGCGGCCAGTTTGTCTTTGGCACGCCTCTTCAGATCATCCCATCTGTGTTTAATGTCCTTCACTGAGCGGGCCACTTGGCTAACAGAGGTGATTTTCCGAGCTATGCCTTCCCAGATCTTGTCCCTGTCGGCATGGGACAGCCTCATGGTCTCCCTCCCAAAGAGGACAGCTTCGTTGTGGGTCACCTCAGTGACCAGAATGTCCAGCTCATCCTTGGAGAATTTAGGCTTCCTCTTACGTTCAGTCACGGATGTCATGTTCCTTGGGTTGAATATCCCGCAAAGCACAATTGGGTAAATAGAAATCAATGAGGGGTGGGGAAAGGGGTTCCTGCTCCTACCTAAACTGCTGGACTTCCCCAAGGGGGAGCCGACAGGAATTGGCTTCTTGCCCTCATCACCACTCCTGTCTAAGTTAGCCCCCTCTCTCTTCTCCCAGCAGATAGAGGGGACCACCAAATCCAAGAAAAAACTGCAGCCAGACGAATGGGTCAGAGAGGCACTTGAGGAAACGAGAATGTTTAGGAATTCTGATTAAGAAGTAGGCTGTGTAGTATCTGTTGGAGGCCCCGAAGAAAAGAATATGGCCAGAATCCTTCCTCTGCACCCCCAGGGGCAAAGTAGTCACTTTGCAACTCACCACCTCTGCTAGCCTTGTGGCTACAATCACGTGGCATGACTCACAATGACAAGAGACCTTCCAAAGAACCAAGAAAGCAACGGCAAAAGGAGGAAGGCACCTGATTTGAATGCAAGGGAGGCTTTGGGTAACATGAGACAGGGCAAGTTGGCAATAGGCTTCACTTGGTGTCATTTGATGTCCCATTGGTAAAATGAGGGCATGTCTGAGCTTTGATGCCCAGGAGCCAAGCTCCACATTGACCAACTTCCCAAACCTAAGCAGGGATGGGGGCAGGAACATTCAGGAAGCTCACAGTCCCTGCCTGTCCTCAGCAAGACCTTTTCTGAATACTCAATATGAGAAGCAGTCTCCTGGGCAGCCCTGCTGGGCTTTCTACCAGCACCAAGATCTCTACCTAAGAAAGGATGTCAAGGAAAATGGAGGGAAAAGAGGGAACCAAGGCCAAGTCCACAGCTTGGCTCATCTGTAGAAACCATGGTGCAAGCTAAGGGACTAGGCAGACAGTCTCATTCATTCCTCATGGAATCAGCCAGTCAGTCAATAAGCATTTATTAAACACTTACTACTTATCAGGCACAGTGCTCAGCTCTGGAACTATGAAGACAAGCAATGGGTTGGGAAGCAGAGGACGTGGGACATAAGGAAGTTCTACTACTTGCTTCCCATGCGACCAAAGAACCTCGGTTCAAACTCTGGCTTTGCCACTTATGATTTGCATGACCTTGGGTAAGTCATTCAACCTCTCTGTTTCCGTAAAATGAGACAGTTGGTCTTGAGAGCCTCTAAACTTTCTTCTAGCTCTAAACCTAAAATCCTAATCCTATAATCCTTTTTCTCTCTTGTAAAATGAGGGAGTTAAATGAAATAGCCTCTAGGGTCCCCTGTAGATCCTATGTATGACTCCAAAGGATCTCCACTTGCAGCAACATTTTGGGGGCACAAGGAAAAAGTGAAGGAGGTTAGCAACCCGGCTCTCCTGAGAGGTCTTGTTTCTCTGGAAGCCAACCAGTCAACCAGTCCCAAGTTGCTGGATACAGGCAGGATTCCTGGCCCCTAAAAAGAAAGCCGGTGGTCTCAAGCAAGCCCAGAGAGTGGAAAGATGTATCTCCACTTGTTGGGGATATCATAGAACAGATAGCTGTTGAGTACAGTGGACAGAGCACAGAATCTGGACTCAGAAAGACCCGAGTCTGAATCCTGCCTTGGACTTCCTAGCTGTGTGACCCTGGGGAAGTTATTTAATTTCTCTCAGTCTCAGATTCCTCATCTGTAAAAAGGGGACAATAATAATGCTTATCCCACATGGTTATAGTGAGGACCAAATAAGATTATACATAGAGATGAGCTCTGATCTACCTATGCATCTATCTATGTATGTATCTACGTATCTATCCATCCATCCATCCATCCATCCATCCTTCCATCCATCCATCCATCCATCCAGTCTATCCTTATCTATCTAATCTATCTGTCTATCTATCTGATATATACATACACAAATATTATGAGTTCTGATTAGTATATACATATACATAGTGTTTTACAAACCTTTAAAAAGTCTTCATGATTGTCATGGTCATCATCATTACTATTATTTGCATGCTCAGGAGTGCATATAAACATGAGCTTTTTAAAAGGCTGGAGAAGAATTCTCTAACCCTTATCACTGACTCACCTCCCTGGAATTAATTCATTTTTATTCCTTCTGACAGTCAAAATAGTAGCTATCCCAATGCAGCAGTGCCCCTGAAACCAGGGAGCCTCCAATTCCCCCAAGCAGTCTCATCTCATTTGCGTCAAGCCCATTTCTTGACACCCCCACCCACCAATCTCCCTTGCATTTCCCCAGCTGTTCTCTTTCTAGGGACCTCCCTACTGCAGTTAATACCTTGAACAGAGAGCAGCCAGACTACGTGAGCTTGCCCCCCTCTCCTCTGTCCACACTCATATACTTTGGCCAGTGGTGCCCCGCCCCCAACCTGAGAGGTCAAGCTCACTGCTCATGTGCCAGACATCATAGCTATGCCCGTGGCACCACTGTGGGTAGATGGGAATTTCTCAGCCTGGTCTAGGATCCTGCTTGAGTTCACTTAGGATTGCTGTTGAACATAGCTTTGACGTACAGTCCAGAGCTCCCAAAGAGCCACCTCCTCCTCCTTCCCCCACCCCAGCCATTGCAAGAGAAGTGCTCTGTGCGCACAGATATAGATTGATGGTTCTGGAATCAGAGGACCTGGGTTCCAGTCTTGCTTCTGCCATTTACTGCCTGGGTGATCTTGGTGACCTCTTGGCTTCTGTTTCCTTAGTTGTGAAATGTGGGGGTTGGTCTAAAGATGCTTCTTAGCCCTAAGTCCCCTGAACCTCTGACAATAGTGGCCTATCCACATAGCCTGTCGACTCTATGAGAGCTACAGAGGGTGCCTAGGGTACCCTAAAGGGTACTAAGTTTCAGGACAAAGATGGCATCCCCTGAGTGGCAGAAGAAATTAAGGAACAGTGGGGAGGCTGTGGGACATACTATTGAGGTGGAGAGCTTCACTCCCTACCTTCATCCACAGCTTCCTAAAGAGGCTGGTCTCTCCCAAACAGAACACAGGCAGCAAGGCAGTACACAGCCCCAGAAAGCTGGGGGGAGGGCTTCTCCTGTCCTTGGTTCCAAGAGGCCTGAACCTCTACTGCCTGGCAGCAACCCCTTTAAGGAAAGCCTCGTGGAAAGCTAGCAGTCAGTTCATTTCTTCCCAATTCTCAGGGTTCCCATGGCATCAGAGCCATTTCTTCCGACCCCTGTGGCTAGACAGTGGCAGGAAGTAGAGTCACACTGAGTGAGGTATTTCCAAAGCATGGGAAGAGACGAGAGGATGGAGCTACTGCCCTGTAGGCCCTTCCCCTGCCATGATCACTCCCACCCATGCCCCACACTCCCTGACTCCCTCGCTTGGGGGGCGACGAGGAGGCACCCAGGACAAAGAGCCGGACTCACCTCATCCAGTTGGCTTTGGTTTCATCTGTCCCATCGATTGACTTGTAATGGCTATTCTTGTCCACAATCTGAAAAGGCAGAGAGAGAGTCTGGCACGACCAGAGCAGGACCAGACCAAGGCAATTCCTCCCACCACTGCCGAGGGCCTCCCTCAAACTCAGAATGGAGAATCCCTCTCTTGCCCACCCTGTCTGAGCTCAGCTCCATGGGACAACTCCCTGCAAATGGTCCCCAGCATGGCTGTGCGGTCTTATGGAAGAGGTCAACATTCTAAGCCCTGCCCTGGATGAATGAATGAAGGCATTTTGTTAAACATTTACTATGTCCCCAATCTGGGCAGCAAGATGGCACAGTGGATAGAGTGCTGGGCCTGGAGTCTGGGAGACCTGAGTTCAAATCTGGCTTCCTTCAGACACTTACTAGCTGTGTGACCCTGGGCAAGTCATTTAACCCTGTTTGCCTCATTTCTTCATCTGTAAGATGAGCTGGAGAAGGAAATACCAAACCACTCCAATATCTTTGCCAAGAAAACCCCAAATGAGATCATGAAGAGTCAGATATGACTGAAATGACTCAATAAGAACAAGAATAACAACGTGTCTCCAGCCTTTGCTAAATGCTAGCGGCATAAAGGTAAAGCAGTCTCTGCCCCTACCAGGCTTACATTCTACTAGAAGAGATAATACATACATGGGGTGGTGGTGAGTGATCTGGCCTAGGAAGCCACAGAGATGGTGAGCGGTGCATTGGGCAATCTAATTACAACTATTCTAGAAGCAATGGTGATAATCTTAGCTAGCATTTATATAGTCCTTTAAGGTTGGCAAAAATGTTTTACCAATGGGGCAGCTAGGTGGCGCAGTGGACAGAGCACCGGCCCTGCAGTCAGGAGGACCTGAGTTCAAACGTGACCTCAGACCAAATACTTGACACTTACTAGCTGTGTGACCCTGGGCAAGTCACTTAACCCCAATTGCCTAAAAATAAAAAAAAAGAAAGAAAAAAATGTTTTACCAATATTACCTTATTGGCCCGACACCCAACGAAAGATGGTGTTTCCTATGTTTTGAAGACAATGCAGGCATCCTTGTGAAAAATAAAGATGAGGTCAAGGTTCAGCCATCATGGGGCCTGTTGCCAAGAACTGACCAACAATCCTAAGAGATAGGTGCTATTTTCAGCCCCATTTTATAGATGAGGAAACTGAGGGAGACAGAGATTAAGTGACTTGCCCAGGGTCACACAACTAGTAAGTATCTGAGGGAGGCTAGATTTGAACTCAGGTCTTCCTTACTCCAGCTCTGGAGTTCTATCCACTGAACCATCCAGGTGCCTCAAATGGCACGTCATTGATTTAATTATGGTTCCCATAGTAAGAGGTTGAAAGGATGCACGAGTGGGGAAGTGGGATGTTTATGTGGACAGAAAGAAGATGACAGTGGTAGACAGCTAGGACATGAAGCATGGCCTGGCCTAGGGCCAGCTACATTACAAGAACATCCAGGATATGCTAAGAAAAGTGCAATCTGTCAGCTAACTGCCCTCTATTTTCCCATCTGTATGATGGGGATGGGAATAGTATAAAGCACTATTTAAGTCTGAGTTGCTCTTTTTGTTACAAATCCCTGTCAGCCCCCTTCTCAATCTCTGTATGATGCTAGAAGGATAAGTGAAGTTCCTGGAGCAACCAGAGAGGGATCAGGCAGATAAAGAAAGGTACAGGTGAAACATCTCAGCTCCTCACACAGTACATGGCACACAGTAGGCACATATTAAATGCTCAGTGATTGGTCTAGCAACCCCCATTTTCTCTTCAACATTGTAAACGGGAATGTGCACTTTGTTTTCCTTTGAAAATGAGATAATATTTGTAAAAGCCCTTAGCACAGTGCCTGGCATGTAGTAGACACTATATAAATGCTTATTCCATTCTCCCTTCTTCTTTGGTGCTCATTAAATTCATGTTAAAAAATAAAATTTAAAAAATGCTGCTGATGGATGGTTTTTAGGATGGATATTGGCAAGATGAAGATCAATCAGGGGAAGAAAACCAGGAAGTGAAAGGAACTGGAGATCAGCATGCACGGTATGGTAGGAGTGGTGGATTTAGGGCCAGAGGACCTGAATTCAAATCCCACTTACTACCAGTGTGAGATTGGGTTATTCACTTAACCTTTACGGGATTCAGCTTCCTTTTCTGTAAAGTTAGAGGACTGAACTAGATGATGCCTGGAGTCTCTTCCAACTCTAAATCTATAAGCCCATAAGATGAGGGTGGGCTATGACAGCTGTTATATTTGAGCAGGGCATAATCAGAGGGGATGGATGGGGTGATCACGGAGGCAGATTCAAGCCTGATGTCAAATAAAAGGTTCTAACAATTAGAGCCATCCCCAAGTGGAATGGGTTGACTGGGGAGGAAGAGGGTTCTCCCTTTCTAGAGGTCTTCAAACACAGATTGGATGGTATATGTGGGGAGATTCCTATTCCGGTAGGGGCTGGACTTGGGTTCTAAGGTTCCTTCCAACTTGGAGATTCTGTGTAATCAGTAAAACAGAGTAGTTGGCCTAGGTGATCTCAAAGGGTCATTCCATTTCTGATAATCTGCGTTCCATGTTCTAAAGTCCTTCCCAGCTCTGACCTACCATAGAATGTTCCAAGTTGCCTTCTAGCTGTTCTAAGCTAGAGATCCATGAACTAGTTTTAATTTTTAAATTTTTTTTAGATAATTATATTTCAACATAATTGCTTTCTTTTGTAATCCTATGTATTTTATGTTGTGAATTTAAAAACATTAGTCTGAGAAGGCTTACTGGACTGTTGCCTTGACAACAAAAAAACTAAAAACTCGCTGAGAATCTTTCCAGCTTGGACCCTCAAGTCTCCAATGGCCTTTCAACCTTGACGCCTTTGTTCTAGAGTCTCTCACAGTTCTAACGTTCTCCATTTTATGATTCTCCTCCTTTGTTCATAAACATCTTCCCAGGTCCCCTGCAAGCTAGTGACATAGTTCTCCTTGCTGTTTATCACATGCAATGCTCCCATCTCCTAATTCTGCATTTTCTTTTTTCCTTTCTTTTTTTTTTCTTTTGGAGGCATGGAGGGTTAAGTGACTTGCCCAGGGTCACACAGCTAGCTAGTAAGTGTGTGAGGCTAGATTTGAACTCAGGTCCCCATGACTCCAAGGCTGGTATTACATCCACTGTGCCACCTAACTGCCACCTAATTCTGCATTTTCATGCAGGGTCTCCTACATCTGGAATTCTCTCCCTCATCATCCTTGCCTTCTGGCTTCTCTGGCTTCCTTCAGTTCTTAGCTTATATTCTACTTTCTCCAAGAAGCCTTTCTCAATTTCCCTTAATGCCAATACTCTAAATCTTTCTCTAATTTATCCTGAACACATCATTTGCACATAGTTGTTTGCATGTGCCCTCCCACGATTAAGACCATGAATGCCTTGGGAGCAGGGCCTGGTTTTTTTTTTCCTTTCTTTGTATCCTCAGCAACTAACACAGTGCTTGGCACCTAGTAGAAGCTTAATAAATGTTGGCTGACTGGGCTTGCTGAGTGAATCAACTCCTTGTCTCTTGGTGATGACCCCCATGTTGGAGCATAATCTCAGACAGGGGAAATAGTTTATAAGAGCTTATGAGGAGCCTGGGTACCTGGGAGCTTCAGAAGATACTTGACATTTGAATAGAACACTGCGCTTATTTGTTATTCTTTTTTTCTTCTTAAAGGGGATCTCCAACCTATCTGTGAGAAGAAACCGATGCTCATTTGCCCAAAGCCTTGAGATCCTCTGTGTAGGGAAATAATGGTAGCAAAGGCCCTGAATGGGAGGTTGGGGGAGAGAGGCTGGAACTGAAACAAGACCTCAAGCAAGGTGGAAATCACAGGATCATTGATTCAGAACTAGAAGAGGCCTCAGGAGGGAATCAGCCCCCACTTCTGCTATCCTTCCTCTTGACAATTCCAAGAAACTGTGGAGGGGATGATGGTGGGCCCCAGACTGGAATACTGGTCTTAGGATCTGACAGCCTCAACTGGTGTCCTAGCTCCCCAATGCTTTATTAGTGATGTGATCCTGGGTAATTCACTTTACCTCACTGGTAAATGGAATAATAACACCAGTATACCTTGACTCACAAGGTGTTCTGAAGAAAGCACTTGACAGACCTAAGAACACTATGGAAATCTGAGCTGTTGAGGGGTAGTGTGGTATGACTGAAAGGGCTCCAGATTGAGAGTCAAGAGACCTGAGCTTGACACATTATGGCTATGTGACCCTGGGCACATCACTTGCCTTTCTAAGCCTCAGTTCCCCTATCTGTAATATAAAAGATATGATACCCACAATCCTTGCCACATTGGGTTGTTGGGAAGAAAGTGATTTATCGACTTTTTCAACTTCTCTGTGACTCAGTTTCCTCATCTGTAAAATGAGAGGATTGGATTCAATGACTTCTGAAGTCCCTTCCAGCTTGAAATGATGCTACAATTCTATGATACAAAGGTGAGTTATCATCATCATCATCATCATCATTATCATCAAGTAAGTGCTCTTGAGGTGCCCAGTCTACAGGTTAGGGAACCTCTGGCTGGGCTGCTCCTGTCGCCCCTTCCCCTGAGTGCTCAGTCCCTCCCAGTGTCTCCATTTTGGTGAAGGGTTCAGGCCAGCCATGCTCATTTCTCATCCCTCTCTGGGCTCTTCATGCTCTGTCTTCTTTCTCCATCATCCTCATCTTGCCCCCCATCAGTTGCCTCTCACGTGTGGTCTTCCCCATTTGAATGTAAGCTCCTTGACGGTAAGAACTGTCTCTCTTTGTCTTGTGCTCATATTCTCTGCTCAGCCCAGTGCCTGGTACACAATAAGCACTTAGGACATGCCTGTTTACTTGACCAAGAGAAGCTTCAAACATCTGGCCCCATACAGAGTAGAGAAGCGTTGTGATATGGAGGAAGGAAGACTGGACTTGGAGAAAGAAGAACTGGGTTAAAGTCTGGGTTCTGCTCCTGACTAGCTGGGCGACTTCAGATAAATCACTTCCTCCTCTCGGGCCTCAGTTTCCTTCTCTGTGAAATGAAGGGGCATGGACTGAACGTTCTCTCAGTTATCGTCAGCTCCAGAAACACAGTACTGGGGGAAAGGTGCTGGGCTTGGATTCTCTGAAGGCAAGGGATCAAACCCTGACCTTACTAACTGAGTGACTGTGGATAGGCAAGCACTTTCACCTCCCTGAGCCTCAGTTTTCTCATTTTTAAAACAGGAGTAGTAATTCCCAGAGTCTCCGTCTCATGGGGGTTGTTGGAAGGATCCCATGAGATAACATGGTAAAGTGCTTTGAACATTCAAAGAGACACATAAATGGCCATTATGGTGATATGTCATCTCCCCTGGAAGAATGTAAGCTCTCTGAGGGCAGGGACTGTTTCATTTTTGTCACCCCAGTGCCTTTAAAAGAAGATGTGAGTTAAAAAGCTTGAATGGAAGGTACTACTGGTTGTAGACGGAGAGCTGCAACAGCCCTCAGGACTGTCCATTCAATCTCATTTGACAGATGAGAAACCTCAGTCCCAGAGAAGGAACCTCATTTCTTGTCTGAGGGCCTTCAGGAAGCACACAGTATAGCAGCGATTCAAACCCAAATCTGCCAGCCCCAAGGTCAAGGCTCTAGCTCTGACACCACACTGGTCTTGAAATCGGGCCATTTCTGCCTTTGTCACAGCTGGGCAGAAGAGGTGCCCCCAGTCCACCAACCCCATACGCAAGAGGGCTGCCTCTGCCTCCTAAAACCCTGGCTCAAGCTTCATGGGGACACCCTTCTTCAGAAAGAGTCACAGTGTGCTAACAGCTCCAGACTGGGAGTCAGGAGATTTGGGAGAGGGTTAGGGCTCTTTTCCCTAGTTAGCGATGGAACCCTGACAAGTCCTTGTCTCTCTACGACTTGGTATCATAAGATCATAAGTTTACAGCTGGAAAAAGCCTTTTTAAAATGTCCTATTGTACAAAAAAGGGGAGAGGGACTGGATCAGATAACATCTAATCTCCCTCTCCGTTCTGACATTTTGTGTTCTAGGGATACTCCTGGCTCCAACATTCGGTATTCTAAGCCTCTTACCAGCTCTGACTTTCTATGTTCTAAGATCCCTCCCAGTTCTGAAGTTCTGTGTTCTAAGAACACTCTTGGCTCTAACATTCTATGTTCTAAGGTCCCTCCCAGCTCTGACATTCTGTGTTCTAAGATTTCTCTCAGCTCTGACATTCCATGTTCTAAGAACACTCCTGGCTCTAACATTCTATGTTCCAAGGTTCTTCCCAGCTCTGACATTCTGTGTTCTAAGGTCCCTCCCAGCTCTGACATTCT